CGCCGGTACTTTCGCGCCGTGCCGGAGGCGGATCGCCGCGTTCTGAGCACGCCATCTCCCTCAACCATGACGAGCCGAATCCTCAGACGATGGTTGGTGAGAACACCCACATGCCATGCGACTCGGAGATCCTTTCATATTCCATTTGGATGACTTGCATGATTATTTCGGCGCGCCGCCGTCAGAAATAGGTAACGCTGAGGCCGACGTCGGGGTCACTCCCATCAGTCCTTCAGATGAGACGTATTTCACCATGATTGGATGGATGCACCAATGAAACAACCAATCCCATGACATATAGAAGAGAATTAGTCTATTTAACATTGAGTTGGCTTACTGGAGAATTACTCGCATGTAGGCGATTTTCGATGCCGAAAGTGACATCAAGGGCAACCTTACGTGTCCCACTGTGGAGCGTGCCCTACATAGGTATCCCATGAATGGTTCTCCACAACAACAAACCAGCAACGCATTCTTAGTGTAGCGGTTATCATCCCAGCCTTCCATTTCGAAAGAAACTGAACAGCTGGGGACCGGGGTTCGACTCCCCGAGGATGCATTATTTTTGCTGTTTCTCCTGATAGGTTTTTTTGATATTTTACACTGTCACTGTCTTTTTCTTTCGAAAATAGGCGCAGAAACCGGCGCTGTGGTCGTGGGCATTCTGGTATGCGAGGTTAGGTTCAGACATAGGCGACCGCGATGATCGGCAGGGACGGCAGGGGCGACACCAGAGGACGAAAGATGGCGACACCAGAGGACGACACCAGAGGACGACACCAGAGGGCAGAGACGGCGGGGACAACAAATGCCATAGGGACAACATGAGAAAAGTAAAGATGAGGGCTCCGCCAATCATATACAACAATAAACGACTCATCCGATCAGGATCAATTGACCAATGTCTACAGCCGAAGCCTCGCAACGCTGCCTCCTCTTCCCCGTTGGTGCGTAGGAATGCATTTAGCTAGGCGATATGCTTCGGGTCATCGGCATCCCCAGGATACGTTGCTTTTCTCTTTGTTCACCATGCGGGTTTGCTTTCCCCCTTGCAATTCGAGAAGACATGGCGATTGGCGACGTCTTTGTAATTTCTAACCAGATGTTAGGAGATAAGCGATTGAGATTGCAGGACATGGCGGGGTTGTAGATGCTCAGCACCTTCATCTGATTCTCTTGAAATTACGACGAAGCGTGACTATCAATGTTGAGGGATGGCTGAGGTTAATCTCTAGGTATTTAGTATCGCGTGAATCGTTTACCAGTTATTGTATCCAAACCCCCTACTACACTTAATGCGCAATGGAAACCAGGATTATCTTGTAGCTCCTCTATAACAGGACCGCCCCGTATTGCCGTTAATACGATAGCTGTAGAGACAGTCGAGCTAGCCAGTAGCGCAGATTATGTGGAGGATTACGCCGTGTTTGTTCTAGCGAGACATGTAGCCGCCGGGCCGCGTTTTCCAGAAAAGGTAGATTTTCTTAAGCTGAATGAGCCAAAGTTGTCCCTATTGCAAGCTCACTTTGAGCATGATAGCTAGACGAGTGAGGCTTGTGTCCTTGGCATCGACAGCGGGAGGATTCTCAGCATGGAGCCATTTGAAGTTGCCTTTACAGCCTCAACGCGGGCAAAAAGGGATGTAGGATCTTCAACCTGTATTGACTTCTTGTTTTCTCGAGCATGGCTCTGTCCCAAAAGCCAGGAGTTGAAAGAAGAAGACTGTCAAGTATGGTAAGCATGTGCAGACCAACCGAAGGAAGCGAGACAGGGAGACAGCACCCCTGAGCTGGGCATGATCCCATTGCGAATCATCTCTCTATGGCCGAGCAGGCGACGGTTTTGCGAGAGCTAATTATAGCCTTTTATTATCGGAGTGTCTTACTGTGTGAAGAACCGACCCAAGCGCTCTTACTATGTTTATCTACCGTGTGCCCTCTTACAGGGTAGGTTATTCCCCATACGTGGCCACAGAGGTTTCTATGTACCATCCTGGCCATCCTGGCCCTCACACATCTACCCGCCAAAGTCAAACGGCAGTCAGGAAGGTGTTCCCATAGGCGGTAAAGTGTGAAAAAAAGTCAACAGGGAAGAAGGACAGGGTCGGCTATGGAACTTCCTCAACATAGCAGAGCAGCCGTGCAGGCCGTCACAACCACACACTTCGGTCGCGCGCAAACGAAGGCGCGGCCCTGTGCTTGTGATTGTTGCTCTTCCCGATTGTTTCCGACTACCCTGTCGTCGAGCCTATCAGACGCGGGAGTTTCTCGACGCGAGGTCGTTGGGCGCGTCCTTTTGAGAAGTTCAACAAACACTGGTACTTGACGCGTGTGCCCAATGAGTGTTCAACAAACTGGCTGCGCGGTCTGCTTCGGCTTGGCGGCCGCTCAGCCGCTGCCTCGGCATTTGCGGCTCCAGCCTGTTCTGCGTTTTCTCTTATGATCAAGGCTGGTGAGTGATCCCTCTTCTTTTCTAACCTTTTGTCTATCCCCACTTTGTGCACTTCCGTTATTCTATCGTTGGCAACATACTAGTCTATCGAGTCGCCGCCCACCCTATGGGACTGTCCAAGGCCAGTACAATGGAGACGATCGATGAGCTATTTGACACAGAGGAGAAGGCACAAGAAGCTGTGTCGGAAGAAGAGATGCCTGTCGGATTGATACAGCTCTGGCCAGATCCGGAGATCGAAGATGTAACCCACATCCCAACAGACGTAGACCTAATCGCCATCCATGGTCTCGGGGGCCACGCCGTCAAGACTTGGACTGATGGCAATAAGTTCTGGTTGCGGGACTTTCTGCCGTTGAATTTCCCTCAAGTCCGCATCTTGACCTTCGGTTTCGATTCATCGTTTGTTTTCAACGCATCCAAAGCCAGTATTCCGGACATTGCAATTCAGCTGCATCCAGCAGCTGCGAAAACGCAAAGCCGAAGCGACCGACCGAAAACCTATATTCATTTGTCATGGGATTGGTGGGATAGTCTTCAAGCAAGCCATGGTCTTGGCTTGCGAGAGTGCAAGTCGATACAGTGGGATCGAAGAGTCCGTGGCCGGCGTTATATTCCTCGGCACACCGCATAAGGAAGCCGATATTGGCTACTGGTCGGGCCTGCTGGAGAAAACGGCTCTTCTACGCGGCCTCCAGCAGAACCTGTTGTTCAATCTTGAAGAAAGAGCCATTGAGCTAGGATCTATTTGTTCCCGTTTCGTGGAACGTGGTATGCCAGCGGGTTTACAAGTCTTCAGCCTTTTTGAACAACACATCACCGAAAAGTTGGGGTGTCTGGCAAGCACGTTTCGTTACCCTTTGAGTAATCCCCGCTAAAACATGATCTGCAGGTCGTCGACAAGTCCTCGGCTACTCTCCATCTGCCTGTAGAGACTCCTCTTCCACTGAACGCGGATCACGACAAAATGTCCAGACATCTCACACGGTCCAGTCTTAACTATTTGACAGTCTCCAATTGCATTGCTGAGTTGGTGGATATGATGGCGGGAAAACCTGAACATACCTGTGCGTGAAGATACCACACAGTCCTAACCCCCCTCGCCAATACAATATTTTGGGATCTCCTAGATAGCTGACGCATGAGTGCAAACAGTCTTCGACGCATGGCAACTCGGCTTTCTATCAAGTCTGAGATCCATAGACCCGGAAAGGGTCCTATCGCTCATTCCCGTTCACTTGAAAAAGTCCTCCAAGTGGCTGCTCGAACATCCCAATTTTCAATCGTGGACGAGCCAACAAGGCCGCTAAATTACTTGGCTTCATGGGCCATCCGGCTCAGGCAAGACAATACTCATGAGAGGCGTTGTCGCTTATCTGATGGAGCAGAGCGAGTCTTCCGGAGGTACTATCCAAAAGCCGCTCTACTTCTTTTTCGACGATGGGGACTCTACCCGAAACACATCTGCAGCGTTTGTACGCTCTGTTTTGTGTCAGATCCTTGTTGACGAACGAACATCGTATCTCATCAAGTATCTGGATGGTCGCAATCGCGGAGAGGATGCGGAAGTGGAAGACAATCTCTGGACATGTCTCTCAATTGTCATTGAGAGATCCCGAGGAATCATCTTCCAGTTTGTTGTTGATGCGATCGATGAAGCACTACGTAGCAAGGCAGGAGAGACAACTACAATAGTCGACAGACTCGAGCAGCTCATCGCTCAGGACTTCAGTGGCCGGGTCAAAATGATGCTCTCTAACCGAAAGAAGCCACAGAACGAGTTCATGCAGACGAAAATTGCTATCATTGATGTCGACAACGACTCTCATCGGCAAAGCGTGCAGGAATTTGTCTGCCGGCAGATGAAAAAACGTCTCGAAAGATCGCGGGACTCAATCAGGATCGGAGATTTCGTGAAGAACACAATTGTGGAGATATCTCAGGGTAACTTTCTCCATGCTAGACTTGCATGGGAGCAGTTCTCTGAGGGCATCACGGAATGGTCCTGGGATGAGATACAAAAGAGCCTGCATCAGCTCACTGCCATCTCCCACGGTCTGGTTGCGGCCTACTGCAAGCTCTTGAGTAGCATTCCGAGAGCGCACCATACCAAGGCGAAGGCATCTTTCGCTATTCTCCAAGTCAGTCAAGAGAAGCTAACGTCTCGCCAACTTGCGTTTCTTGCCACCTTATACACCCAGCAGTTAGATACGCAGCCGACACTGTCAGAACTCCAGTCGCAGAGTGCCGATTTTGAAAACTATCTAACTGAGGCTTGTGGATACGCCATAAGAAAAGTCGAGAATGGCTCGGTCAATTTCGACCATGTTTTTGCCAGGGACCTGCTCACAGGCAATGTGAAAGACCTCTCGCCAGAGGAGCAACAGGTCATTTCAACATTTGAGGTCTCAGAGGCGGATGCACACGCCATGATGCACACTTTGTGCATGTCTATCTTACAACTGGAGAATAGACCAGCAGACTCCTGGCACGAACTTCTGAAAGATGTGCGTCAAGCTGAGGAGAAACTGAGAAGGACAACTCGCGAAATGACAGGCGGAGTAGCCGAATCGGGCGCTGCTCGCATCGAATCGTTCGCCAAAACGCCTTGCTTCACCTACGCACTCCGATACTACGTTAGCCATTATGAAGCGGCGACGCCCAGGGCTCACGCTGAGCGCGCACTTGTTTTGTTCATGCCTACTCGACAGGCGTACTACTGCCACAGCTTGTGGTTAGCGATCCACGGAAACAACACAGACCATCGCATCTCAGTCGATATGGATAGCGAAGAGCAAAAAACCAGCTCCAACTCGTCAAAAAGTGCAGCTTTATTCCAGCTCATGACGCGAGGAGACTATCCAAAGATTGTGAATGGTCTCGTGGCCGATGGTGCTGATATCAATCATGTGGCAGGCTCAGGCCACAAACGCGTCACACTTTTGTCGTGGGCTATCATCTGCAGGCGAAAGAATTCTTTCAGAGCTCTTCTGCGCAATGGCAATGTTTCAATCAACCACAGCCCCGACGGTACTCGTGGGCCACTTCATCATGCGGCTCGTTGCGTAGACGATGTATCGTACATTCAAACGTTGATAGATCACCCCGACATCGATGTCAACGTAATTCAATCATCTAGTAACCCGCTTCACGAGGCGCTAGACTCGAAGAACAGATTGGGTGTCGACGCGCTTTTGGCCCATCCAAATATTGATCTTAGCATTACAGATTCTTATGGGCAGACTCCTTATCTCAAGGCGTTTAACCATGAGATGTGGGAACCGTTCCTGCTGAGAATCATGACGATGCTTCCCCAGAAAAGCTTCTCTATTCCAATTCCCGTGACCAGTCAGCTCCTCGCTGCCGGTAAACACGGCTGGACGAATGTCGAGGAAATCTTCTTAAAAGTGTTCGCATACCAGTGGCTCACGCATGATCCTGACACAAACCTGCATGTGTTGGCGCACTACGCGTTCTTTGGCCATCGGGAGAAGTTGCTCTGGATCATAGACCGTCTTCCAACCCAACGCGTCTCATTACGCAGTGGAGTGGACCATTACGACCTTCTTCACCTGTGTGCCAGTCACAACTGGGAAGACATGGTGCACATGATGCAGCGGAAATTTCGTCTACAGTCACTTTCCTCAGACCATGCAGGGAGAACACTTCTGCACTGGGCCATGGAATACAATTGGGATATCGACAAGATGGATCTCAGTCAGTACAGTGTGGCTGATCTCAATAAGAAGGATCGCGACGGGTTGACAGCAGTCCACATTGCCGTCATAAACAGAAACATGGCCGCCTTGGAAATCCTGGTGGCCTCAGGGGCAAGTTACTTACAAAAGGACAACGCTGGCATGTCACCCGCCCACATGGCCGCCGATCAAGGCTACCGCGCTGCCCTTGTATACTTCATAGACGTACATTCTGCCGACTTTGGGATTACTCATACAGGCGCCAGCCTCCTGCACCTCATCGCCCTGGACTTCGACGAAGCCATGATACACCACTTCGTAACCTCGCGAAAAGCGGCGATAAACATCAACTCCATGGATCGCGAGCGCCGCACCGCGCTACACTACGCCGCCATGACCAACAACGCGTCTGCGGTCGAAGCACTCGTTAAGCTACGTTGTAGCATCAATGGCCGAGACAAAAATGGCAAATCAGCTATCCACGAGGCTATCCGAGGCGGCGGCGCTGACACTGCTTTGCGGCTGTTGGACCTCGGCGCCGACTGGCGGGCCACAGACGCGTTTGACCAGACGTGCCTGCACCTTGCTCTCCGATACAATAGTGAAATCCTTGTGTCGCACTTCCTGCAGCTAGACATGAACATCGGCGCCGTAGACCGATTCAAGATGACACCGCTTCATCGGGCATGCGGCGCGGGCAATGCGGAGCGCGCCCGCGAGGTCCTTGACAGGGGAGCGGCGTGGGATGCGCGGAACATGCATGGGCGCTCACCCCTGGAGTTAGCCGTGGAGGCGAGGGCCACGAGCACAGTAGGGACGGTGGTGTCGTGGATGGTGACGTTTCGGAGGGCACAAATCAGCGTAATTCGACGCATAATAAGTCGATACTTCGACAGCGCGCTCAAGCTGGCCTGTGAGCTGGAGCTGGATTCCACACGTATCGCTAGCATACTGAAGGAGGCCGGTGCAGACATCGACTACAGCCAGGTCAAGGTTGATAGGGTGTATCTGGCTGGGCCGACAGCAGAGAAACGTGATTCTCTTGTCCCTCGGGGGTGAGGATTGCAGCATCCGTTCGACGGCCCGTTCAGCAGCCGCCCCTTGGGCTAGTCCAAAATCTCAGACCATGACAGTAGCCATGGCCGGTGGAACGGCTATTAAGTGCTCGATGGCGTCAGTTAATAAGTCCTCACTAGATAGACAGAGCAGGACCATATGACGTTTGCGTTGAATTTACTTTTGTCTATTTCTATAGATGAAAAGGTTTATTGTAGAAGACAATTGGCGTTCGTCCCCCTTAGATATTCTTCTTCGATTTTGTTGAGGTGCCAGAAGTAGCAAAGATGCCTCGTCCGCGCATTTCACTACATTGAGTAGTTGAGAAATCATCTAACGTCCCGCACCCACTTTCCGGACACCCCCTCATTCCGGACACCCAAAAATTATGCCCCCATATATCAACGCAGTAACTTAAACCTAGGACTTCTGCTATTCTGATGCAACTACAATACAACTTTCGCTATCACTAGGGTTTTCAGACTCGCTGGATTCATTTATACTATTTACAAGTTCTCCCGCCTCGATTTGAGCCCTCCGAATAGCCTCAATATCAGCAAACTTCGAATTTGGGCTCATTTTGACCTTCTTGCGTTTCCTGGCCCTACTGGCATCAACCTCTGCTTGTAGTGCCTCAATCTTTCGCTGGGCTACTGCCAGTTGGTATGCCTTCTCATCAAAGCCCTTCTGAACCTTCCGAAAAAGCAGGCGTTGCGTATGCTCATCGTTATCCAGCTTGCTGAACAGGCTGAACTGATCCTGAAGCTCATCCCTCTTCTTGGGGGTTGACCAAGGGACTGCTGATGTATCTGCCGCCCATTTTTCGCTTGCTTTGCCATCAGAGAGCCCTTTGCAGACCTGACCAGCTGGTTTGGCAGGGGTTGAAGTGTTCTCAAGCAGCAGAGGGCTCATGAGGGGTCTAGCCATACTGATAGGCCACAAACCAGTCCATTTCCAGCCACTGATGATATTCTTGCTTGTCAGGGCTGCCTTACGCGCCTTGCCATAGCATACAACGAAATTTCTCTTGCCCACAACTGTACCAGCATCCCATTCAGCAAGTAATCCAAGCTCCTTCTTGTATGCTGCCTTGAGGGGCCCAAAAACCGACTGATCAAGTGGCTGAAGGACGTGTGACGTGTGTGCTGGCAAGAACAGCAAGTGTATCTTGTTTCTGAAGCATGTATACATGAAAGCAGTAGTCTCATGGCTTCCATGACCATCCAAGATCAACAATCTGACCTCTGAGGGGTCTGCTGGCTGGGTAGAAGGTATAAAGACCTCTGTCAACCACTTAACAGCTGTAGAGTCTGAAGTCCACCCGTTTTCTGTTGCTGTGAACTTCCAGGATTCGTATGGCGTCAGATCTAGAGGAAACCACTGCTGCTGGACACTCTTGCCCTTATATATAACAAGTGGAGGCAGTGCCTTGCCAGTTGCAGAGATACACTCAATCAGAGATGTTCAAGCACGCGATCCAGGCTGTTTCTTGCGGATAGAACGAGTTTCTGATGATCCAAGAACAAGCCCATTTGATCCTCTGCCTTCCAGAATACCAGACTCATCCATATTGTATCGATTGGAGGCTTTAATGGCTATGATCTCAGGGATGGCGAGGTGCTTGAACCATTGCCTGATGACATTAGTTGAGGCTCCGTTGATGCGCTGGGAATCAATTGCTCTGCTTCTCTGGACCCTTACAGATGGGTTTCTCTTGATAAAAGCCTGAACCCAGTTCTTCCCTAGAGGCTTGGCGTCTCCATGGATCTGTAGGATACGCTCAGCGAATTCCTTGAGTTGTTGATGGGTTGGTGGTAGGCCTAGGGCAGCCTGGATTCGAATCCATTCAGCCAAATGGCTTTCTTGGGTTGGAGAGAGCCTCTGTAGATCTGAGAAGGCAATATCTCTTGATTGGGTGCCTTGGATACGATCATAAAGAGTAGACTTTGGGACCCCATACTGCAATGCAGCTTTTCGCACGCTAAGCCCATTAGAGATCGCATTAAGAGCCTGATTAATCTCATACTCTGTATATTGACTCATATGGTCTAGAAGAAGATGTTAGATAAAGATGGAAATAAGTGAGATTAAGGTGGTGAAGCTATTCAGGATCAAAGTTGTAAGAGAAAGATTTTATTGAGGCATTTTTAGGTGTCCGGAATGAGGGGGTGTCCGGAAAGTGGGTGCGGGACGTTACAATGCAAAGTCAAGCTAGCGAAGTTTTATTGCTGATGCCCTGCCACCTGGTTCCGGTTGACTGTCACAGCCGGATGCATTAAGCTACGCTCATGATTTCGGGGATAAGAATCCTTCAATGGTAATAATAATGGTGTAATTCGCGACCATTATCAGGGATTACATGCGATGGAGTATTGCGCATGGCCCCGCAGTAAGGCGTGCTCTTCGCAGCCCCGGTATGGCTTCAAACCTGCGGGATCGGAACAGACCTTCGGAGAAAATGCAGGGGTGGAGACTATACAAATCACGGGGAATCTTAAATGTCTTGCAGATAACCACACTTCCAATACCACCAGCTTCATCCCAGGGCACCAAGTAATCAGTGTCTTTCATCGTTGCTTCGATACGCAGCCGGTTTCCACCAACATGGGCGAACAAGCCCGGTCAACGAGTGGTGTCAATGAGTCTGAGGAGGAAAAGCCGATCCTTCGAATCGCTCATCGAAAGATTGACAGGAGGCTCCTGCTATGGTACTCATTCGTGTACCTTATTATGCGAATTCATGTCAGCAATATTAGTAACGCAGCCATCATCAACCTGGAAGAAGGTACCGGCATACGAAAACAGCTTGGAAATCTGTCGAGTTCGCAATGGGCTTGGGCACTAAGTATTTTCTACTACCCTTACATGGTCTTTGAGCCGCTCGCGACGCTTGCTCTGAAACGATTCTCACCATCTATTTGGATGAGCCGAGTTATGATCACATGGGTATCTCGGGACTTCAAGACGGAAGAAGATGTCGCTGACACACTCGATAGGGAATCATCTCAATGTGTCAGGGAGCGACTCAGAACTATGCCGGAATTCTGGCTTGCCGTTTCTTTCTCGGACTGGCAGAAGCTGGCTTCTATCCTGGAGTTTTGTATCATCTCAGCTTCTGGTATCCGACACAAAAGCTTCCCCTGAGAATTGGACGTGCATTCAAGTCGTCGCTGAGGTCAATGCTAACTCCTTGAAGGGGTTCTTTTACGCCTGTGGGATGTTTTCAGGGACCACCAGCGGTCTTTTAGGTAACAGCCAACCATTAATTCCATTAAGAGCGTTGATTAACAGTCTACAGCCTATGCGATTTCTTTTATGAATGGCGTTGGCGGCCTTGCTGGCTGGAGATGGGTACGTATGCCGCGATTGAAGTATTGGGGCGTGGACTAATCCGACGACAGCTCTTCATTCTTGAAGGCATTCCGGCTATCCTTTGTGGGATTTACACTTACTTCTACCTTCCCAACTGCAAGTTGACTATGATCTTGCTATCTCTTTACCCAGCATTCCTAATACAATTCTAGACCCAGAAACAGCCAATTTCCTCACAGAATCCGAAAGAGACATCGTTCTCGCCGACCTTCCCGAGCAAGCACCAACAATGAAAGCTAAGACTATCAACTTTGAGCAAGTTAAAGAACTCTTCCGCAGCTCTACTTTCATACCATTCTTGATGATCTGGATTACTCATGGAATCGGAGGATGGGGTATCTCCTTCGTCTTGCCAACCGTCATTTATGAACTCGGCATATCTAACACGGCCATCTCGCAAGTCATGACAATGGTATGAACGACCCTATCGACGGACGTCTCAATGCTGATTTTTCACAGCCACCCTTCACCTTGGTCTTTGTCATTCTTCTATCGCTCGCCTTTCTCGTTCATACCCGGAGACTGAGCCCTTGGGTTGCTGGTCTCGGGTTAGAGGCAGCTCAAATTGTTTGTTACGTGCTGCTAATCACAGTGAAACATCCCATTGCCAAGTACATATTCGTCATGATTGCAACTGCCGCATCGCAAAGCTTCTTTGCTATCATCTGGCCAGGTAAGAACTAATACTGGATGGCAACTTTAAAATACTGACATGGGCTTATCCAGAGAGGATTCGAGCAGCGAAGGGGACTACGACTGCAGGTCTGGCAATTGGTCTCACCAACGTAAGCGCCCAACTTTTGGAACAATTAGATACCACAACAAGCTTACCATATGACTTGCAGGCATCGTGTCAGCTCATGGGTATAGTCGTACGTATATCCCTTTCTATTGTGTTTATCAGAGAAATTCTAAAGTGTGTTGAAGGGTCCGCAAATCTACCAGCCCAAGTTTGGCCCGAGCTACCGCATCAGTTATTCCTGCTCCATAGGTCTTCTGTGCGGAACACTTTTGTCTGTTTCCAGTGCATGGTTCTTCGTCGCAAAAGAAGATAAGAAAGATGCTTCTGCGAATAGTGGCTCAGATGCGACTCCAGAGGAACAGACTGACAACCAAAAAGCCGTAGAATATACGGATTAGCCTAAGTCCGTTAGTAAGATTCTTCTGAAAAGCAAACGAGTTCATGCCTTTGTTCATCCACCACTTCTCATACAGTGATATTACAATAGCCTCAAGAAACCCCATGCCATGATAATCGGTCCAGAAATCAGGAGGACCCTTGCGGTTGAGAAACCTGCTATGGGCTGTGCCGCCTATCCAATTCCCGCAGCGAGAGTCTTTACACCATGAAACATGTTCCAGCCAGTCGTCCGTATGCAAGCCGTAAGAATATGGATCAGTCAGTGTACCAATCCAAGGCGCTGGGCCTTTGAGATAGCTTGTGCTCATCCGCATGATCGAGAGACGTCCCTCCAACCTAATCCATTTGTAGGTTGTATGGCACCCAGAACAGCAATACGTATTGGAGTGAACATCACACCTTGCGATTGAAACTGGCTCATGGTCATTAACCACATTCACCCCGGTACAGGTTGAGCTCCCCGGGTAAAATATCTTCGACGTAAGACACTCGACACATATATCTTCCGTCTGTATGTCCGACAGGTGCACGGGCTTGGACTTGTGGAAGCTTTGGAGAAGCTTTCCGTCGTTATACTTGACATGGGGGCAGAGATCACCCTCGCGAGTTGCATCGGCAGAAAGATCATTGAGCTTTCCTTCCAAAACGTCCCAACTTATGCTGCCATCACTTGCATCATCGACGTCTAGCACAGGTATTGAGCAGAGTATGTTGAATTCGAAACCATCTCTCCCGAACCTGGCTTCAGTTAGCCTTCCAGGCATTGCCGCACACGATGTGCAACACATCTCTGTCTCATTCTCAGGGCTGGAGAACACTTTCCGCCAGTCCACGTCCATGTGAGGGCAGATTCTCGTACGCCCTTCGTGCAAAATGCATGACCTATTCAAGTAGTTCGCGATGCCGCTACGCCTCATTTTAGGCGAAAATTTCGTTACAGTGTGGTAATCCAAACAGCCGTGGCACCACAACCGGCGATAATATTCACGGCGTCGCCAACAATTATCTGTATTTCCAATGAACGTATTTCCAGCGAGAAGGTGGACGCCGATGAACGGATGCCTAAAGCCTCCCCACGCAGTGAAGCAGAACTTGCATAAGCTATCGTACTTCAGCCGAGGGAGTACCATTCTCTGGAAGTAACGTTTAGAACCGGTATTTTCGGGGAACCGAAATCCAACATATGTTTTTTCGGGACTCTCTTGCATGTAACCGAGAGCAAGACTTGCATAGTCTAAGCGCTCGTGGTATCTGGAGAACTTGTTGTCGTAGAAGATTCGGTAAAAGACCAATGCGGTTTGGCGTAGGCAGTACAGATCGATGGGTCGGAGCAAATCCATAATCTGGAGAAGCAGCTCGTCAGGCAGACGGAAGATGGGGGAATCTTTGTGGGGATTACACGGAAGCGCGCGTTCTTCTGCTGGTTCAGGATGTGTGTCAGCCTTACATCTATCCTTCCCTGGCAATTTGAGGGCTTGGGGTTAGATGGCCAACCTCCTGTCTGGGGTCGGAGCCGTAACAAGGCTAGTATGAGTGCTATGGCACGGTACATGGCTGTTTCATGAATCCTTCGTGCCCACCCAGTTGACAAGATCGACGAAATAATGATGGCGACGGGAGAAATGGGATCGCCGCAGAAGTCAAGGGCGGCTTACTTGGCGAAGAAAAGAATTTCTTTTTAGATCATGTGCACCAGTGGTTCCAAAAGGTATCGAAAATCCAGTCTTTCTTATTGGCCATCCATGAACATCCTCGGATATAGATACACAAAACACCTTGTAATCTCTTGTGGATACCTGAATGCTGATGAGGAAGCTCCTGTCTACATTTGTCGGCAATTTTTCCCAAACTTTCTACCAATTGTAGATTGAAGCTCGGGCTTTCGAAGCACGTTGTGCTTGACATGAGACTTTGTTGAATGACTTGAAGATGGAGCCTCTTGATGGAAGTTCTGTCGATTCGGACATGGTGCATCTCGTTGGACGTCAAGGTCGGGCTGTAGTTGCTCCGAAAACAAAGTCTATGAGAACACAAGGTGCTTTACAAATCTAGCGGCTGATTATGAAGGACTCCGCAGGGTTTTTAACACATATAGGCAAGCCATCTTGCGGGTGTGAACCTCACCACCATATCTACATCCGAGCATTGCACTGTACTCCCTTTGAATTTGGGGCACACAGAAACTAGATTTGGCATGTGAGAAAATGAGATTTTCTTGCACAGAGACATCCAACATGTCTATCATGGCCCATCTGAGACCCTGTTGCCGGCCCGACGTTGGGACATTGCCATCGGATGAAGCTCTACCCCGTCCTGAATCAGGCGTTGAATCATTCACCCAAGAGACGAGGCCTTTTTCGGAGTCATTTTGATCTACGCAACACCGAATTCGGGCGAGAAAGTCTTCATCCAAAGTCATAACAGTGAATAGCCAGACATGGCAGCACAATCGTTCTTCAATCTCAGGTGATACAAAACCCGAATTTGATGAACCCAACACATCCCCGTGCCGTGAAGCTTGCCAAGACATCTTGGCATAGTTGATCTGTGAAGCTCACGCTCATCTGAGCCTCAGCCGTCCCAGCACGGGCATAGTGCCATCGGGTATAAGAAAGGGAGAGGGTTGGAATAGGATAATGCCTGAATCACGCTACAGTTGATGGGGAAGTATCTCTCGACAAAACTGAGACGTCTCTGCGCCACGGAGTCCGTATCTCGATCCAGCGACCCGACCCTCCGGTGCGGCCCGTTTTCGACCCTCGGCCGGATATCAGGTCCTCGGCCGGATAGGCTTGAATGCACGAGCGAGGTACCTGCGGGGTTCCTGCGTGTTCCGCGTGGGTGGTCTGGCCTAAACGGGCCGAGGATCTCATCTGAAGCCTCCACAACAGGGTAAGATCGACTGTATCCGTTCTTGTAATGGCATGGTCCCGCAGATTGCACGGAGATTTGCTGCTGAGACAAATCTACATCTCTGAGAGCTTGGCAAAGAATCACATGACACTTACTTCTTCACTTCACTCTTGATTTCCCATCGAGGCGCACCCAGTCGCCACTCGATATGGCCCGGGCATGATCACCGCCTTGGTGGATATTCGGGAACATGAACTTAAGGGATGCCTTTGTCAAATGGCGTATGCTTACTGTCTCTTTTCATAGCATTCTCTAGGTGCAATGCTCAAAACATATCATGTTCTGTAGAGTCAATACGACTTTGCGTGATCAAATGAAGGACTCGCTTGTAAAGGCTCTGGGAGGCCATGTAGTGAATCCCTTCTCGTTCACATTCACACTTGCCAATGAGATGAAAACGATGATTGATCTGCAAGAGACCCTAAGGGATCACGGTTATCGTTGCCAGTTTGTCGCCAACGTTGAAGGAGCACGTGGACCCATGAAAGACATTGTCTTGAGTTCTTGGGAGGAGATCTGAGACCCATCACAGGCAAAGCTCAATGACCCCTGGAATCCTCAGAGCCTTATGAGCCATCCGTTTTGGTAAATCCGCGCATGTGTCTCAGAGCCTGATTTTGAGCCAGTATGTTTACAGTTTGGCTCCATCCACATCAGGACGCCCGAGTCAGACATGGGATTCTGCACTGTCCGATACTGTCAACATCGGATTTCATGTGCCCGTCTAGGATACATGTTTCGAACATTCAACTCTTGAGACAGCGTGCTTGGTAGAGTCCATAGTGATGGGAATCTGTTTTCGAATGATTTTTCGTATCCCCAGTGCTTGATACTGATGATCTTGCCGAGATTCCTTCTTGTCACAACCACATCTGGGAACTCGGGGCGTTATCGTTCCGTGGTCTGCAACCATGGTGTTTGAGTAACACTATGTCTGTTCCTAATACGGTACCGTTGCCGTCCCAGATGATCTTGTCTCCATGGGTGTAAGTCACCTTGTTCTAAGGTTTTGCATATCGATACCAACAGTGAGTTGTAGATGCTGAAGAATTGGTGGCAGTGTGGCGGCATTATGTGTCAAGACATGGCTTGAGTATCACAGCTGAGGTTTCAGTGCCGCAGCTAATATGATTGCGGTTGATAATAACAATCAGATACCTTAGTATTGTGAGTTCTATATATGATAGTGCTGAAGAATCTGGGCTTTGAACTGTGCCCCAACCTCGATATCAACAACAGCCTCCTTGCGCACTGTCCAGTCTTCTCTTATGCGGCCCCCGGAGATTGTCGACCGGTTCACACACCTAACCTCGCCAGACATCATGTACTCTCCTCTCCGCCTTACTCGATCGGCGGCCACCGCAGTATCTCCCACGAGAACCGTTCTGTTTCCCGCGAGAATCGTTCGGTCGCTCGCCAGATCACCCACGAACTCTCCCAAGACGGTAATCACAGAACTCCTCGCAACATGTCCCACGGCACCTCCCACAGAAGCTCCTCACAGTCCTACGGCAACTCCAAAGATGCTTCGCGCAGTGACCCCCGCAGGCGATCCCACAGCATCTCCCATCAAGTCTCTCGCACGATTTCTCACGACCCTATCTGCGACATCTGCAACGATGCTACGTCCTGTGACAAGTGCAGACAAGGCTCTGTTGGCACTTCTCATAGCTCCTCTTCCGACATCTCCCGAACCTTCTCCCATACCATGCCGCAGAGCACCTCCTACACCACCTACAGCGGTGGCGACTCGCGCATCGGCTCGGGAGACTTTTCCAAGAGCTTCTCTCAGAGCCTTCTCTATGGCGGCTCCGGGCACAAAGACCATGGAGGTTCCTCCAACGATAACTCAAACGCGATGACTGAGAGCTATTCACGCGACTTCCCACAGAGCAACTCTTACGCCACTCGTAGCGGTGACTCGCATCACGACTCAACCGAATTCTCTCAGGGCGGACGTCATAGCTTTCTTCAGAGCTTTCACAGATCATCTTATGACGGCCACGGAAATGTTCCCAAGGCATTGAACTATGCTCCCAAGAACTCATCGCATATGGTTTCCGAGAGCTTTTCGCCCGATCTACCTCAGAGTCCCTCCTGGGAGATTCGCACCGATGTCAATCGTCATGGCTCTGGCAACAACCACACTTCTCACAAAGCCTGCTGTGATATTTGCAACGGAGGTTCCAGCAGTTCCTCTAATGAGGCATCGCACCAAGTCTCTCAAGTCTCCCGCAATGGCGGTGGGAACGATGGGAGTGGCGGGGGTGGCTTCTACGAAGACTGGAATACTCATTCTCATCGCCCGCAAAGCCCAACTCACGACCGGGCTCACAACATCTCTGGGATGATCGTAGGGGATAGATCGACCAAGGTGACTGGAGATGCACCCAAACACAAGACCAGGGACATCGACGGACCCATGGGCAACACGCCCGGCAAAATTTCCACCACGACGCACACTACTTCCAACAACGTGCCGCCAAATGTTTCTGGCAACACCTCTACCCATGATCATCACACTACTAGACATGATGGTCCCCATAGAACTTCCAGAGAAGCCCCCAACAACTCCCGCGAGCAGACCACTGGAGGCCATGTTGTCAACCTCACTCACGAGCATAGACCCGCTCCAAAGGGGTTCCTCCAAGGCATTACCGAAGATAGCGAAAGTATCAGAAGTCACAGCAATGGGTCTCACAGCCATCACCATTCTAAGCATGACCATAGAGGTGGCGGTCACACCGTTGTCTCTCGGAACCACGGCTCTGAGCACGACGACACAGTCAGAAATCACAACAATGTCCCAGGCAGCAACTCCCACGATCACGGTCATGGTCACAATCATGGCAGCCATACCATCATCAACAATAGCTCTGGGCATGATGATACGACCAAGACTCACAACAACATCCCCGGCACCAACTCTAGCTCTGGCCATCGGCATAAACACGGTGGCCACACTATCATCAACAACAGCTCGTCGCGTAATGACACGACTAGGAGCTACAATAACATCCCTAACAACAGCTCCGGCTCTGATGAGCATAATCATGCCTACAATAACACCACTACCAGCTCCGGGGGTAAGGACACAGCCAAGACCCATCGCAATGTTTCGGGAAACAACCCAAGCACCGAACATAGTCATGGTGGTCATACAGTCGTGACCAACAGCTCTGGGAGTAAGGATAGACCGAGAAGCTATCAAATTGCCCCAGGAACCATCCCCAGCTCAGAGCCTGGGCACAACGGCAAAACCACCACGATTACTAGCTCTGGGCATCCCAAAACCACAGACAACCACCCGGATATCACTGGAGACACCCCCCACTCCGGAAAGTATCATCATACCCCAAGCACAGGTCTCAATGGCCATCCTACTGTCCCTCACACGTCTGAGCCTACTGTCCCTCAGAAGCCATCTTCCCAAGGGCCTCCTCAGTTGGCATTGTCTCGAGAAGTCCCTCAACCGGCAACTTCCCGCCCTGCAACTTCGAAGGGAGTACCTTCTCTGCCACCAATCTCTCAATTGACAGCATCCCGAGAAGTCCCTCCTGAACCGTCAACTTCATGCCCTTCAACTTCTCAAGGAATACCTTCTCAACCGTTGGATCATCAACCTCCAACTTCTCAAGTACCATCGTCTCAGGCGCCACCTCAAGCAGTCACCATGCAAAGATCAACAAGACCTCCACCTCAAGGGTCACCCCAAGAACCTCCTAACCAGCCCCCAGCTCCTCGAGGACAGCCCCAAGGGTCTCCACCCCAAGGAACGTCCTCCCACTATGTTCCTGAGAAGGATCGCTTCAACAGCCCAACATTCAGCGAGACCAGCCATGACCACGGAGAATCAGATGAGCACCGACGAGTCCGTAAGCCCATCACCCGCCATGGCTGGCGACGCTTCCTCCACGGATGGATGATACACATCCCAGCTATTATCTTGACCGCCATCATCCTATGGCTCGCCTCAAGAGAGCGCTACTGGTACGGCCTGGCAGGTCCCAGCAGGGTCCGCCTGAGCCCTAAAGGCGTCGAGGTTTTTCTTTTGTTTGCCTTCAAGATCTATGAGATCTTCGTCATTCTCTCACTCTCCGCCATGGCCATCAGCATGTTCCGCCGACGACTAATCGGCGGCGGCGTTCGTCTTGGCTTTCTCACCGGGGCCTACCGCGTGGGCGACTTTCGGTACATCTTCTCGCTACCCTTCTGGCGTCACGGCTTTCTCAGCCTCTCATTCTGGGAGATGATGCTTGCCGTCTTCGTCCTCTTCGCAACCATCTTCAGCCTCCTCTTATTGCCTGCCGCCGGCGCCTTGCTTCTCCCGTCACTCCAGTGGTACGGCATGAACCACAACAAGGCTTTCGGAGGCGTCACCGCACCGCTCCTGTACCAGACACAGCCCGATCAGGTATGGCCGACGCTCTTCACCGACGGCGCGCCATGGAACAACACGCCGGTCTGCGTCGAGGCCGAGGGCATCTACAACGCCGCCTGTCCCGCCAGCGGATTCACCACCGTCTGGAACTGGGCCAAGGGCTTTTCCACGACCGGACTGCAGGACACCGTCACCTTCTCCAGCCCCTCGACGAATCTCAGCCGTCAGCTAATGATCACCGAGGTCACCGCCGATCCTGACACGCGGAATCCGCCCGTCTTGTCGACCACCCCGTCCCACCACTTCAATATCAACTTCGGCCTGGTCAAGAACTACATCGAGAACGGAACACCATCACTGAAGATGACTCCCAATACCGCCTCAGCACCCGACGGGTCAACGCCCAAAACCCGGATTCGAGCAGCCCCATCTATCAACCCTTCATCCAGTCGCTGTGCAACGACGTCATAGCCAACAACGGCTCGCTGGTGTACCCGATATCATCCCTCAACTGCTTCGGCGACGCCACCTGTCTGCAGATGAAGCGAGCATCACCGGCCCGCTCCCTCGACGTATCCGCCTGGGACTCGGAAGAATGCCACCTCCAGCTCATCACCACCGACTTCTTCGTCTTCCAGAACGGCACGCCCATCATCGAGGTTGCGGGCCAGCTCCCCGACGTCAACGGTGGCTACCGCAAAGACCGCCTCTTTTCGTGCACTTTGCTGGCAACCTGGGTTGCCGCCGACGTCTCGACTGACTCAAGCGAATGTGGCGGGCTGGTGTCAGACCTGAACGACCCTCAGGCCATGATTGAGACCTACCAGAAGACGTCTTTCAGCGGGAACTCGGAGGGGTACGTGATGAAGTTCGACCCGAGCTGGTTCCAGTACCTCTCCCCAGTCTCCTTCGCATCATCCTTCGCGTTCAACGGCTCCGATGCGCTGCGGTACTACAACCCTCCCGAGAGTCTCGTGCGGAACTTTGTCGACGCCGAGGTCGCGCAGAACATCACGAATCCCAGGATCACCAACAGCACCATCGACTCCGCGCGCGCCGAGGTGTTTCTGGCCAAGGTGTTCGGCGTGTACCTCACCGACGCCATCGCGCGTACTGGATCGAGCAGCACGGCGCTGATACGCTCGGAGTCGGGTCAGTCGGCGAACCAACTCCCGGTGGTCAACTCCAACGTCCAGTCCAACGTCCAGTCCAACGTCCATTTCAACACCAAAGGAGGCACCCCCGCCAACAAGACCACTGGGCCGACGGTCGTGAAACACATCTCTGCTCGCGCCGCGCAAGACGATCTCCTCTCAGAATCGATGGGCTTCGACTTTGGGGTTGAGAGGTACGGCTGGGGCACCGGCAAGCCGTCGCGGGCACTAGAGTTTGGCAAGGCAATACTGTACATGTACTTTGCCGTCCTCATTTTGTACCTGCTGACGGTTATTGGCGGTCTCATCTTGGAGCTTTGTGGCCTTTACCCGAACATGCGCGTGCTGAGCATCATTCCCTGGTGGGATCTGCAGGGCTTGCTCGTCCTCGCGATGAGGACGCCGCCGCCGGGAGATGGAGATTTTGCAGATGCCGGAGCGGGAGTTACCTCGTCTCACGTCTGGAGAAAGAGGGTGAGAGCGATGGCGGACCTCGAGCACAACGTCCATTTGGTGTACAACGACGATACGGTCAGGAATGAGTTGGACAAGACTGGGAAAGTAAAATACTTTTGACATTGCTACATTCCATTTTGTATTGTGTTTTTAGTTACGTTCACTCTGATATTTTCATCACAAAGGCTTCTGACCTTCCAATACTATATTTCATTTCTCCTGCTTCTGATCAAACATTCCGAAGTGCTCTTAGGACGTGATAGCAGCAGGTAAACAATGCAATCAGAGGATATTCATCCCAACTGGTTCATACGAAGACTCTATGACCCGATATAGGTCGAAAACTCACTTGAACGAAGACTCTTCCTCCTCGCGTCCATCTTGCCCGCCTCCTTTAGCTCAAGACCACAAGGATGAGTGGGTTCTGGACATTCTTTAATACATCCAAATCAACCAACCCACAGTAACGGGCAGACCCCTAGTTCCCCCTGGCTCTCAAAGTTGTCATCTCTGCCCATCTTCAAAATGCTTCATGAAACCTGGACACTATCTACCGAGCCCAAGCGAGCCCCATATCAAAGACTCTGCATGGATGTGAAGCCAAGTGAAAGACCATCCGCGCCGACCATGACACCCCCGCTCCCACACGTCCTCCATTTGCAGAATCTTTCACTGGCGAGTCGACAAAACAAATCCCACTCATCCTTTTCCAAAATAAACAAACCCCGAAACCTCTGATTCTTTCCAAAATAAACCCCATTCACATCTTACTTCCCCCGAAAACACCAGCCCTTCCTTTCACATTCCACCTCCTTCACCACAACCAACACCAAAACCCGCCATCATCACCCCAAGATGGCGCCCATTCTTGACAACTCTGTCGCGGAGTTGTATCGGGACTACAAATCCTCGACGAACTTCGCCATCCAATGGCTCTATTGCCAGGTCAAGGCCGAGGATCCGTCCACCGAGAAGTTCACCTCGATCAACCACATCCTAGCCGCGGCCAAGGTTGTCAAGAAGGCACAATCTGTTGTGCCCAAATCCGTCCTCGCTTCCCTCCGTACCGCGATTGCGAAGCGCAAGCAGGTGTACGACATATACGAGAAGAACGGTGCTGGTTGTTACGGCCACGCGGCGTTCGCCCAGAGGTGAGGTTCATCTGGTTTCCATCTTGAGGCATGAGGCTGACAATGAAATAGACTTGAGAGTACCCTCTCCATTCTTTCTTCCCTGACGACCGCTTCCACAACTTCTTCCTCCTCCCGTATCGACGAGTCGGAGAAGAGCTCCACTGCCCCCAACGCCTTCGCGCCCCTGGCCGCCACTGTGGAGGATGTTGTCGACGACGACGAGATCGACGTCGTAGACCATACCTGTGCCTCAGACTCGGGTGGCGAGGCCCCTTCATCTGCCCACACGGCTCCCGATCCCGATGAGGGCGACTTCATCCTCGAGGACGATGCCATCCGCCAGTTCCACGAATCCATCAACTTTCTGCTCGTAAGAAAGCTGCCATCCCCCCTCCCTTCGTCATCATTACAACTAAACTTGCTCCTAGGAACTCTCCAAGGTCTACTCGCAGCTCGAAGGCTACTGGCGCGACGCCGCTGCCGGCACACTGCCCCTCCCCGTGGCCGCATGGCTCACGTCCCTCACCGCGCACACCGTCGCCAAGGACGCCCCGCGCAGCTTTTTTAACCTTTGCGAGAGCGTGTCGTCCACATGCAACACGTGCCCCGACTGCCCGGGCGTGAGAGCTTTCGTCGCCAAGATGTCACCCTCCCCAGCCGCCGCCGCCGAGAACATCGCCCGCGGTACACGCATCTACACCATCGCCAAGGCCATCAACGCCTACGGTGCCGAACTTCCCGACATGAGTACCCCCTCTCTGATTCATGTGTGCCCCGACAAGTGCGCGTGCCGTGTCAGAACCGACGGCGGCGCGACGGAGCCCCATGACCAGGACCACGGTCCTCGACTGCCGGAGACGGACGAGGCCTACCTCCAAGAGATCCTCGGACTGATCAGGGCCGATGTGTTGGGCACGCGCGGCATCACCCCGCTCGAGAGGATCAAGAAGTACGCGGTCGAAGACGACAGGGTCTACCAAAGCGAGCCCCTTCTCTGTTTCGCGCAGGCCCTCTTCTATAGCGAGGAGCACGTCACTCCCGGACGGCTAATCTTTGCCATGGACTTCTTCTTGCTGGCCGCCGAATCCGCCTCGATGGCCGAGGGTCCTCTGAGCTACGCGAACTGCCAGGCGAAGCCACACCGCCTCGCGCTGGACATGCGCTCCGCCGTCGACCCAGTCATCGACTTCCTCCAAAACATGAACCTATTCGCAGATTGGGGTCAGACCATCGGCTACCTCGAGCAGTTCCGCGACGCATTGAGCACCTTCGCCGGCGAGTGCGCCCTCGAAAAGTACCATGGGTCTCCTTGGACGGCCGGCAACCAGCTCACAGAGCTCCTGATGCAAGCCTCCCTCGTAGGCGCCAATGTTTCCTGGGACTGGGCCATTATCAACTCCACTCTCCATCTGTACAATGCGATGCGTCAAGTCGGGATCCTGCGCGTGAAGAAGATCCCCCTGCTGGACGAACTAGCCAAGGTCTTAATCCAAGACACCTTTCGCGGCGCCCTTCCCGATAGAAACTTCGCCTCCACTTTCAGCCGCATCGTCTTCAACAGTGGGATCGACAAGACGCGAGGGCGTGTGCAGTACGGCTTCGGATCGAAGCCCCTTCGAGGGCAGCACATCACGTGGTTCCTCCACCAACACCGCGAGGCCCATTTCGAGGGCCTCGATTGGCTCGGGGAGGTGTACGGGGTTGCGACGTGCACGAAGCAGAGGTGCTCCAGGTGTAGGAAGGATCCCAAGAAGGACAGAGGAATTCGCGAGGCGCATCTCGCGGGAACGTTGCCGGTATACATGGAGAAGGCCAAGAGCAAGGTGCTCCCAGAACTGGAGGGAAATGCTCCGATTGCCCGTCTTAACTTCTTTGGGTTATTTATGTTCTGCGCCCGGTTCATGAGAAGATTCGGGGAGCTCAGTGAGGCCGAGCTCGGTAAACCCTTCAAGGCGGCGGACTCGCCGAGGGAGCTGTGGGCGCACCCGTTGCATCTGGCTCGGTTCGCCACCGAGCTCGTTCTCGATTCCATCGACGAGGGCTTCGGCAGCAGAGAAAGCAGACGTCTGTTGAAGAAGAAGAAGCTGGTTGAGAACGCTGGCCAGGCGTTCAAAGAGCTAGACGCGGAGGCGTCACTGAGCCAGTTCACCTGGGCGATCTGAAGTTGTGGAGAGATGTTAGAGTTTTGCGTAGATAATTCAGGGTACAGATAGAAAGCAGATGCGGCATATCGCAAAGTCACGTTCGAATGATGTATGGCGAATGTTTGACGTTATATTTCGGGTATCTCATTAATCAAAAAAAAGCGTGTGTGCACACATGCTCTGGGAGCTTGTAGCTACTTTGGCGTGATGCCTTGCGCATAGACAGCGGCGATATGCGTCCTGGCAATTCGTAGCCTGTATCTTTACCGCATTGGTATTCAATACGCTACCATCTTTGGGGAAGAGTCCAGCTTGTCCGTTCGGGTGCTTCGTTTCGAACAGCCCAACAGATAAGTAGCTTATGTTCAGTTGGCAGTGTCGAGTCCGGCTCATGTCACAAGCTAGGCGCCTCGACTCATTGAGTTCTGGCCCAGGTCTTGCGGGACTCCAGGCGTAATCCGTAAAGGAATTCCTTCAGACTGGGTACGCCCGGAGTGCATGTCTAGGACGTTCCTGCCATACCTCCTCTGCAAATTTAGACTGCAGGATACGAAGGACTGACTCGGCTTCATCCGCCCGGCCTAGGCGCGTAAGGTGGCTGACAGCGTCCATGCCCATGCAGATGACCCTCGATCCGAGGTTGTTCGTCGCATAAAGCTGAGCCAGTTTGTCATTTGCCTGCAAGCCCTCAAGAAAGCCAACAGCTCGTTGGTGGCTGGGGTTTACTGGGTGGTGGAGGTCAAGATGTGCGCGGTCAATCTTCAGCGGTCTGTGGATGTGGTTGGCAGTGCCGACGAAAGACTCGAACAAGGCGGCAGACGGCAATGGCCTCTTCCAGGCCTCAACAGTCGACCGCCAGGAAAGAACGTGCCATGGCGCAAGGAGGATGTTGCGTCTCTGAGCGTCCGTCTTCCATGTCTGGTCGGCTCTGAGCATGGCAGAGTAGGCTGTGTCGAGACTCTCGTCGTACATGTTGGACTTGGCCTTAACCAGGTTGGCCACCAACGAACCGACGATGACGCTGTTCGGGTCTTCTGGGCCTTCGCCCCGCACCATCCGCTCTGCCCACGCCCACAGCACTTCTTCCAATCCCTCGGCGACCATAAATTGCGACAGCTCAAAGACAAAAGGCTTGTCTGCCAGGAACTCCAACGTCCGCTCCTGGCCAGACGACCTCAGCCATTGGAGCACCTGTGATCCTGCCATGGAGTCTGCCATGGCGTCGTGGAGTGAGATTACACTGGATTCCAGGATCTGTTTGCGCGTCGCTCGTAAACAGCCAGTTGCGGCCTTCCTCGTCATCATGCCCCTCGCCGCAGCCTCTTCAAATACGTCCATGGGATCTCTCGGCGATGTCAGCGGCAACTTGGCGGGCTTCTCGCTGTTCTTGAAGAGGGGGTTGGAAAGGATCGTTCGAAGATGTCGGTCTGTCGGGCGGTGGTGGGCGTTGTGAGATGTAGGCTTGTTGGCTGTCGTCTGCGAAGCCGATGACTCGGCGGTCTCGGGAGTCCAGCCATGCTCTTTGTCGAGGTTCTGACGGAACGATGTCTTTAGAACATTGAGCAGCTTTTGCGACTCCCGCGTAGAGAGAGGCAGGGGTTGGTGGATAGACGAGATGGCCTTCTTGAAGGAGCTCAGAGGCTTTGTGGTGAACATGGTGGGGTGCTTCGATTCTGGCTTTGCGGATGCGCAGCGTTTCGGCGCTGGTGTCCTTTTCGAGTGGTGTTTAGAATTCCAGCCGTCGAGACTGTCAGTGTCGGAGTCGTCGGGTCGCTGGGGAGGGGTGGACGAGATAGGCGGTGGGTGGTATGTGATGTGCACGAGGCCGGTAGGTTCGGGGTCAGATACGCATCATCGTCTTGCTGTGGAGCGATGTCGGTCGCGGAGGCAGGCACAGTCGTGCCACTAACGGGTCACATGACATTGAAAGTGCGGAGTTCGGCTACTGATACCTGAGGCAGCAGCATCTGAGCTGGCAGTCCAGCCCAGCAAGCCCAGGCTGGATCTGACAGCAGCCCGCCCACGCTGCCACGGCAGAGAAGGAGCTCCCACGTCCGGTACGTACCGAGGCCTGGGGTCAAGACCTCTCACGTTTCTTGGCCAGGGCTGGAAAAGCCTGAGTGGATGGAGACTGTGACGCTGTTTTTCCTGTTTTGTCCCGTGTACATGTCACGAGGCCCAGATCCATGATTCAAAGCACGCGAGGCCAGCCATTGCCAGCGCGTCCAGCCAATGCAACTCCAGATCTGAAATGTACCGGCTACCTCTCGCCAGCTCCCGAGCCCCCCCCCATACGTCGAGAATCGCACGAATCTCCCATCCAGCTTAGGCATTGGCCAGGGTTTGGTGGCACTGGGTGACGAATACAGCCTCGTGCCCGAGAAACGCACCAGGCCTCGGGACATATGACACAAGAGCAGCTGGGGAGGCGCTGGAGCTGCCAGAGTCAATACGGGAGGGAACCGCGAGCTGAGCATGGCATGGCATCAGAATTAAGGGACGACACGACACTACGCGACACGGACGACGCAGCGAGGGTCCAAGTGACAAGCTTGCCTGGAGCTGGGCTGGAAGCAGCGCACAGGCACAGAGAAAGCAAGCTCTTGTTCTCCCGTCTCGGCCGATGCAGCAGACCGGCGGAAGACATCCGTACAGCATTGGAAACAATGGCATTCATGGTTGAATTCAATTGACGGCTGGGCCATCTTCTAGAAGTACTCATCTCCAGTCGCCCGGAGCTTGCAACATTCTTGCTGCCGGTTGCTGTGCATGTTTGCTGCTCTGCTTGTTGTCGCAACCTGAATGATTGTGACGGCTTGACCGATTCCTTTGATCGTTTCCGTCTCTCTGTTGCCGCATTTCGCTAGATGAGACCCTCTTGCTTCAGGATGACCGTGGCGGGTTGCTCCAACTCCTACTCCGAGCTAAGATGGAGCTGAGGCTCCGTTGTCTCTGCGCAAGGCGAAGTAGCCGTAGGACAGACAGAGTGCTCGCTCAACGAATGTCTGAGTCTCTCGCTGTCCCTTTCTGCAAGGTGCGTGACTGTGTCGCCTTCTTACCTCATCCTCCCGCACGGCGAATGGCAGGGCCCAAGGCGAGATTCAGGCAGGCAAGGGAAAGAGCAAGAGTGGAGTGGAGGCCACCCCCAAAAAGTCAGGAACCAGTGAGAAGGTACGGAGGTACCTGCCTTAGGTAGCCAGGCGAGCGACTGCACAATCCAGCATAAGTACGTGCGGCTACTTGCCATCTGGCCTCTCGTCAGTGGCAAAGACAGGTAGCGGTACCTCCACTCAGCCCGTCGATTGAGGCAGTGGATCTGCATAAGCCCGCAAAATGCAAGCCGCGCTAGCCGTATCCGGAGCAAGGGGGGCGTCATTCGCTGCAGGCGGTCGCTCGGGCCCCAAAAACCTTAGCCTGACTGGAGGAGACGACGCTGAGGGAGGAGCAAGCAAAAAAGAAGCAGGAGCATTGGAAAAAAGCATCACCTCGGGCAAGCAACAAGAGAGCGGCAAGTACCTTTTTCCGGGGGCCAGTTGGTTCTCTCCACAGTTTGCAGGGCATCGACCTCGCTGGTGGTCCACTTCCACAGGCCACCTCACCTCGCTGACTACCACTGACGTTGGCCACTGAGCTGCGAAGGTACCGACACCAACCATCAGAGGTGCCTGCCTGCCTGGACCTCCCTTCCCCGGGCATCATCCACCTCACAGTGCTGGCAGCAGCCTGGGCGGAGAAAAAACCTCCCTTTCCAAGCAGACAGCAGCAAAGCTGGTACCGTAGCCCAGTGCACCGCACCACCAGCACCTGTGACCTTGCACCCAGTTGGCTGCTTTGCACAACATTCCACATTCATCCATCATCCACCTCACTTTCTCCCACCTACACCACCACCACCACCAAATCCTCACCTGTCTCGTCTACCGTCAGCCACGACCACGACGTCGTCGTCGAACCCCCCATTTTGCGGCACCTTTTTCTTTTCCGTTTTTTTCTCTTCCTTCTTCACATCGGCCTGAGTTCCGCTGAACTTTCGCCCCCCACCAGAGCTGTCGTGTCGATACCGGCCGGCATTAATTGACTCCCATTTTTCCACTCCTGGAAAAAAAAATCCTCCAACAACCCAACCTCACAAAACAATCACAACCCAGCAATGTCTGAGGTACAGACTCGGACTGCCGCCTCGCGCGGCAGAGGTTCTGGTCGCGGTGGAAGAGGTGGATTCGCCAGTCGAGGTGGCCGCACCCAAGGCAGAACCAATGGCGATAAGTTCGACCACAAGGACACCGACGATGCGACTGCGTTTGAGGACCAAGGCGAGCTCGGCGAGCTGAAGAAGCAATACGGCAGCAAGACCCCTCTTATCAAGGAGCTGTTCCCCGACTGGTCTGAGCAGGACATTCTCTATGCTCTCCAAGAGACAGATGGCGACGAGAACCTCGCCGTCACCCGCATTGCTGAAGGTACGTACGCACCGCCGCCGCTCACTATCATGCGCACACATCACCCCCCCTGCCCCGTCAGGCTGTCATCTTCAGCCTTGCGCAATTGCCCTCGCGCTTATCCGCCTTTCCACCTCGCTGGACCTGCTTTCGCATCTGGTCTTTCTTTGCTAATTTTTCTCGACTCCAGGCACCATCTCCCAATGGGGTGAGGTCACAAAGAAGGCCCCCCGCTCCAAGGCCAAGGAGCCCTCGACTGCCAACCCCATCATCGACTCATCCAATGCCAGACCCGCTAGAGGCGGACGCAACGTGTCGGACGCTGGTCGCGGCCGCGGCAGGAACACTGAAAGAGGAGGCACTCGCGGTGGCCGTGGCAGAGCTTCGGCAGCCACCAATGGTACCCGCCACACCAAGGAGAATGCTCAGCCGTTGTCCGTCCCTACTGAGGAGTCGAACGCATGGAACACTCCCTCCGAGGCAAAGGAGGCCCCCGCCGCCGAGGACCCCTGGGCCCCCAAGGAGACCATCGAGAAGCCTGCCGCCGCTCCCGCTCCTGCTGCTGCACCCGAGGCCGCC